TGCTGCTTCTACTATTACTACTTCTTCTACTATTGCTTTTCCTGTTACTGCTTCTACTACTACTACTACTTTTTCTTCTGCTGTTACTACTGTGGTTGGCCCTCCACATTTGCAGATTTGACTTTTGCAGATTTGATTATTTGAGGTTTTCATTAATATGTTCTCTCCAGATCCTCCAGCACAACTCTGCCAGAAGTTGGCCATAAGAGTTGTGCTGGAGAACCTAGAAATTCATAGAGAAAACACTTCTCTAGGCATTTCTAGGTCTCCTCCAGCATAATTCTCAGATCAACCTCTGGCAGATGTTGACCACAGAGTTACACTGGAAGACCTGGAGACTCCTAGAGAGCTGGTCTCTCAGGTAAAAAATACATAGTGTTTTTTTATTTGCGGTTTTACTACATTCACAGGGTCCTTGGCCCTATCCCCAGTGAATGTGGACTACTAATTTTTCCTCTTCTCCTCCTCCTCCTTATTATTGTTGTTGTTGTTATTTTACCTTGCTTTTTCCCAAAAACTGGGACTTAAAGCAGCTTACAGTCTAAAACCACAGTACAATTAATAATGTACAAAACTGACAATTAAAATGGAATTAAACTATTACCATGTTAAAAGAGATCATTTGCTTTAAAATAGAGTACAGTTTTTAAAATATAAGAGGGCTTTTAAAAAGCCATACACTTTAAAATTATAGTGCATCTGCGGAAGTGCATGCATCTGGGGAAGTAAACTCAAGTCTAGGAAACCTCATGTTGTTGCTGTAATTATATTTATTTGTATCCTGAGTTCCAGAAGAGTTTTGGAGCAGCCACTGAGAAGGCCCTCTTTCGAGTCCCCACCAGCCGGGCTTGTGATGGTGGTGGGACTGAGAGAAGGGCCTCTTTGGATGATCTCAGAGCCCAGGCCTGTTCATAGAGGGAGACGCGGTCTGACAAACAGCCTGGACCTAAACCATTTGTAGTCCAAAGCATCCGGAAGCCATCATTTTGCCTTCTACTACATGTACAAAAATGGTAGTCTCTGCACATAACTGTACACCAGTGATCTTTCTTTTGACTTTTGGCATGATGTATTGAGTAGAGGCAAGCAAACAAGATTCAGTCAGCCCTCCATTTTTTGGGGGGGATCCATCCTGCCACCATGAAAACAGACCCGCTGATATTCAAGCCCCATAGGCTTGAATGCCCCCCCCCCCCATGGGGATGGCCCCCTTTGATCTTAACGGAGGTTGTCCCTACATGAATATTCAAAACCGCGGACCTCAAATCCACAAGAACATAGGGGCGACTGTACTTATCTTCTTCCTTTGTAATGGTGGTGGGACTTTGAGAAGGACCTTTCCTGAAGATCTCAGAATGAATGTGAATTTGGAATTCTAATCCACATTACAATACTTGAATTGTATAGGTGCAAATGGAATTGGTATACATTGACCAACCAAGATGAAATGCCCTTGTGCCCTACTGGTTTAGCTTGATATGTATACTTCGTAAGATTCTAGGCCTTTTCTGGTACTAGCACCCGTAAACCTGCTCATTGGATTCTTAGCACTTTAAGTGAGTCTCATGGGGTTTAAGAGGACACTGATGAGTCAAGTTCATGTAAATGATTCCAGTGAAACTAGCTGTTTGCTATTTGTATGCACATCACTTTGATTTGTGAACAAATTTGTGATTTGAGGAGAACCAGTGTGGTGTAGTGATTTGAGTGTTGGACATGAAGATCAGGATTCAAATCTCTGCTCAGCCATATAAACCCATTGGGTGACCTTGGGTATGTCACACTCGTTCAGCCTCAGATGACCGCATAGGCAAACCCCCTCTGAACAAATCCTTCCAAGAAACTCCTGTGAATGGGTTGCCATAAGTTGGAAATAACCTGAAGGCACCCAACAGCAAGATAGAGAGGACTATCGTGGAGGTTTTGCCTGGAAAGGCAAGAAAAATATTTTTAGTAAGTTAAGTATTGTGAAATGATCAGAAAGTTCTCTGCGGTTTCTGGCCTCTCGGGTAGTTTCAGAAAGGTATGCTCACACACATCTGTGAATTAAAGCTTGTTAAATACAAGGGTTTCAAATAAACAGATTTGAATTTTGCAGTGTCTTTACAAACTTTGAAGCCAAGCTTCACCATAAGATCTGTAAAGTGCATGAATACTAAGGGTGCATCTACACTATGGAAATAATGCCGTTTGACACCAATTTAGAATAGGGGTTGGCAACATGGTGCCCATGTGCTCCAGGTATTTTAGTAACCCCTCTCACTTTTGGTTTATATTATGTGATATTAAAATATAATATTAAATAACCTTCCATTTTTCCTTAGAGCAGGTGGACTCCCTTCAGAGCAAAGTTCTGGCAGCCAGTTACCATCTTCACTTTTCCACAATGCCTCTGGGTCCCAGCTTTGACTAAGATGCCATCTTACAAAGCCAAAATTTTAAAAATCATCTAACCCCATGTAATGTCAGAACTTGGTGGATCTCTTTTGGATGAATGTTCCACAAGGTGCTGCCATCACCAGAAAGACCTTGAAGTCTAAAGTTTGAACCTTGAGACTGCACATAAAAACAACCTCCCCCTGTATTTTATAGAAACCTTTCTTGCCAGTGTTAAAAAAATGATAGCTGTTTATTACTTTTTTTCACCATAAGTAATCAGGGTATTTGGTATAAATATGTGACCAAGTGATAATTCTGCGAATTAACTTCAATAGATTTTTTTAAGAAGGTCAATTCCCCCGAGTCTTTTTTTTTTTTTTTTTTAATAAGGATTAAATGTCAGCCTTATGAGAAAGCCTGTAAGTATCGGAAATGAGAAAACACATCCTGCTTAATCTTAGATATTTTCAACTGTAACCAAAATATACTCTATGGATGCAAAGAGGCTCTTTTGTTGTTATTTGTTTCATTTGTTGTTTTTTTTTTTTGCCTGACCCCATGTGCAGAGTAAGTTCTCTTGCATTCCTGTTTTTCAGGCTCCTTTTGGTAAATGAAGAGGAAAGGCTTTGTTTTGTACATAGATTTAAGACAACCCTCAAAAGCATCTCCATAGAATTATGTAAGGCTTTTTGAAAAGATTTAGGATTAGATGCTTAGGCTGTATGCTTGACTAGTAATGGGTCCCACTGAGTGAGTTTAGATATTTCAGATTCTATGTTATCAAGAATATTAAGCACACTTGGGCAAAACAGACCGCCCTGAAGGAGCGGTGTCACGCCGCCCCTTTGTTTGCTGGGTTGGAGCCATGGCAGGCGCATGCTACACCCTTCCCAGCTTTTTGCTGACGGTGTATAAATGCCATGCTGCCAGAGCGCCACAAAGCTGCCCGCTATATGGTTGGGCGGGTGGTGTGATGCTGGCTTGTTGAAGTGTGCGTCATCTGAAGGCTACGCCCCCATGTTGTTCCAAAGCTGGCGCAGAGGGCCAGTCTGTTTCGCCCCTTATTTAGAGGTAAATTCCACTGATTATTTGACTTGATCTTTTGCCGCTTCTTCTTCTTCTTATTATTATTATTATTATTAATATTAATATTAATATTAATCCTAGCTTATATTCTTTTTTTACCTGCTACAGAAGACCTTCCCATCCTATCCTGTTCCTCTCTTGGATATATTTACTGAGTGGAAAAAGTAAGTGTGTGTTGTTTTTAACCATTATTGGATGGAGTTCAGAATATTTTTGTCCGCTGTTGCGTAAAGAGGCACACTTGTATTGCATCCCTCTTATTTCTGCACTTCACTTAAGTACACTGGGCCCTCTGCATTCGCTAGGGTTAAGGACACAGGACCCCCATGGAAATGAAAAAACACACAAATAAAAAAACACTTTTTACCTATGAGAACATTTCTCTAGGAATCTCTTGGTCCTCCAGCACAACTCTGGCCAACATGTGGCAGAGGTTGACCATATAATTGCACTGGAAGACCTGCAGATACCTAGAGAGGTGTTTTCTCTAGGAATCTCTAGGTCTTTGAGTGTGACTCTGGTAAACTTCTGGCAGAGTCCCTCTGGAGGACCTAAGAGGTTTCTAGAGAGAGCATATTAATCAAAGCCAC